ATGTATGGGGTGTGGGTGACTTGGAGATTCCCTTATTGCAAAGGCTTTTGATTTTTGTTAGTTGGGTTTAGTCGTGCATGTTTGTCTATGGGACCACTTTGTATAGAGGCAGGTTTGAGTTTCACACTGCAATCTTTGTCTACTTTTACGCCCAGGTAAGTGTTAATAGGTTTAAAGCCTGTGATGCCAGGTCGAGATCGCCTTACATGTCCAGGCTTTTAACACACCTATTACCTCTTTGGAGATGTTCATTACTTTTTGGTCCCAATGTTTGCACTGCTGCTGTTTTTATGAAATACTGTTGTTAGCAGTTGAATTACTTTTTATTGTTTTGTTTTTAGTTTTATTGTCTGAAGACTTTAGGTGGGGTTGCATGGTATAACATATTCTAAATGAATAAATATTCCTTCATTCCAGACTCTGGGTTGAAATGGAGAGGCAATTGCTTCCAGGTCCTGCTTGTGAGCAACTAAGAACTTCTGGCTGACTACAGCTGGAAACAAGATTCCAGTCTAGATAGACAGATTCAGGAAAGCATTTAGTTTGGGAGTTTTGTGCTATGGTGGTCAAGCGAAAGGATTAGAATCTTGTGTGCATGAAAGCATAAAGAGTAAAGTTTTCTCACTTACTTTTTGTAACTTTCAGGTCATATATTGCTCTTTCGGTGGCACGTCCAAAGGACTACATTTCAACAATCTGATAGTAGGCTTAGTCCTGCTAACAAGGGGCAGAGATGAAGAGAAAGCAAAATGTAAGTAGTGGCAGTGTCTGATTTTTTTGGGGTTCACTGTGCACTTGAGCTCCTTGCAAGAAAGGCAGGATATAAACCTAATATTTGGGGTGGGGGTGTGAATCAGACACCTTCCCCCACAATCCATAACCTTGGACATACAGTGGAACCTCGACTTACACCTGCCCTTTCTCGCGGACGTTCCAAGTTGCAACTGTGGCAAACCCGGAAGTAAACACCAGGTTTGCCGCAATTTGTGCATGCGCAGAAGTGGCTTCTGCCATCTGCGCGTGCGCACAAGTGGCTGCTGCCGTCTGTGCATGCGCAGAAGTGCTCTGCCGCCGAATGTGCACGTGCACAACGGCGCCTCTACTAGCGTCCAGTTTCGCCCAACGGATGGGCCTCCGGAATGGATTATGATCATAAGTAGAGGTTCCACTGTATCAGCTTGCATTTCCCTCCATTCACTTTAAATGGGAATCTAATGTTCAGTCAGGATGGTTAGACCATTAGAGTGAGGTGGAGGCATTCTATGAAAGAAACTTGAGACTTTCCACTTAGCATCTCCCACTCTCTGCAGAAGAATCAAAATATTTCAGTTGGAATATTATATTTGCATTCAGCTGTAAATGGTGTGTGTGTGTGTGTGTGTGTGTGTGTGTGTGTGTGTGTGTGTAGAGGTATAAAACCTTTAGTATAAAAAATACAAAGGTAAGTAACAGTAACAAATTAAAATATTAGAATCATTATAGGCTCCAGGTACTGTTCCTCCAGATGTAATTTCATGTTTTGTATATAAATATTATCAGCTCCAATTTAAACTGGCATCCTTGTTGATCCCAATAACATAACTGATTAGCAAAGCCCTTTTTATGAGTGTAGAAAAGTAAAAAATCAGCCCTGTTCAGAAAGCTGTGCAAGTTAATTGGTATTGCCAGCTCTGTTGCACTGGTGTGACTTGAATGTTTAATTATTCTGTTGTTGGTTTTTTGCTTAGACATTTTCAGCCTGTTTTCAAATGAATCCGGGAGCTATGTCGTCCGTGAAGAGATGGAAAGGATGCTTCATGTGGTCGATGGGAAAGTCCCGGAAAGCCTCAAGAAATGCTTCTCGGAGGTATTTCCTGCAGTTCCTTATCTCCTTTTACTGGATAACCTGAGGATGAGGGTGAAAGTGTGGAGCCCTGACCTCCTGTCGGAAGTAGCCTGCAGTGATTTGCAGAATCAGGATCAGGTCTACTGACCAGATCCAGTTCCACACCCTTGTAGTAGGAGATTGCAGACTTGATAGGATTAGCCTCTGCAAGGTGCTATGCAGGTGTCAGGTTGCACCTGAGGTTGCTGAAATGAATAAGCTAGCCCTGGCTATTGCAGGGAGGCAGTCATGCGTCTGGTTCTTCAAGCCAGCCATCTCTTTGCTGGCTGGAGGGGTTCTGGGAGTTGTAGTCCAAACCATCTGCAGGGCACCAGGTTGCTGCTTTAAACCCAGGAGTGGGGAACTTGTGGCCTTCAAGGTGTCGCTGGACAACAGTCCCCATCACCCTGGATCACTGGCCATGCTAGCTGGGGCTGATGGGAGTTGGAGTCCAACGTCATCCAGAGTGTCAACAATTCCCTATTCCTGCTTTCAAGCATTGCCTTTTCTCCTGCTTCAGTGACCTCATAAACTGTGTCATTCCATATCAAGTGATCCAACCTTTTTATCTCACATCATCCAATTTTCTTAATATTTTGTACACTTGTTGAATGATCAAAACTAAGTTTAAATCTAAAATGTTAATTTTTTATCTCATCCCGTTTGTGAGTTATGAGGGTTTGAAATTTACAATTTTGGCCTTGCTGGACTACACAAAAACCTTAACAGCTCAGCCCAGAAGTTAGATACTTCAAAACTAACACCACCACCAATCTCTTCAGAACTTCACTGGCTTTAATATGACACGTCACATGATGGACTTACTTTAAATTTTAAATTTAAATTACAAAAATTTTAAAAGTGATTAAAAATAATATGATTTAAACATTCAAAAAAAGTATTGATTGTTAAACATTTCTAAGAGCTACCTGCAAAATTTCATCTTGGGATCTCAGTGGGATTTTTTTTTTTTTTTGGTACATACATGTCTGCCTTATTGGGTTCTATTTAGCATAAATGAGGGGCATTGGGGACTTCTCACAACTCTCAGGAGCCTTAAGAAATGCAGGGTGTGAATGTGGCCAAGGCTGGGTCTTCTGCACTGTATCATTTGTATCCCACCTCCCAAAGTCCCATCTCTTCTTCTCTTTCTCTCAAAATGTGGAAAGCGCCCATCATCCTTCGAGGGGGAGAGATCCACCCCTCCCCAGACTCCTAGTCTTCCTTGATGGGAGCACGAAGGACTCAGAAGCACCTCTCCAAAACAGCATTAAAAACCCCCAACTCCTTTCCAGTGTTGTCTTTCACACTTCTGATGCCTGTCCTCAGGCATAAGGGCTACAGCTCATTAAAATTCTTTCCACTAGAAGCAGTAGGAGAGAGTCTGCTGCAAGCGTTTGTGTAAATGAGAATGAGAATGTCATATACCTGCCCGTTGTGTCCTGGGTAGCATAAATCTAATCAGATGCCTCGTTTCAAAGTTGATCAGCGGTGCTTTCCCTTGGAAAGCAAAACAACAGACTGATAAGCTGTTGGGAGATGCGTTTTGAGGAGCATTTAATGCCACCCTGCTGGCTGGTTAGGGTTGGATTTATTTATTTTTGTATCCTTGTTTGCCTTAGCCACTGAAATGAGCAGGCGTTTGGAGAGGAACGCTTACACTTACAGCTCAACGTATTGCAGATGGCAGACTAACACGACTGCCCCATTCAAGCTGTGATTGTCATTTGTGCATTGATTCCCCTGGACGCCAAGGGGCAGCATGAAAAAACCGATTCCCACTCCATCCAATGGAAATCTTATACAGTCGTACCTTAGTTTTTGAACAGCTTAGTTCTTGAATGTTTTGGCTCCCAAACACCACAAACCCGGAAGTGACTGTTTCGGCTTGCGAACTATTTTTGGAAGCCAAACGTCTGACGGGGCTTCCGATTGGAAGCTCCTGCAGCCAATCAGAAGCCATGGATTCTGTTCAACTCCCAAGGTACAACTGTACAGCACTTTGTCTGAGTTCTGAGTCTTTACAAAGAATTGCTCTTCAGACCCTATCAGGTGCTAAGATAAGGAGAGGGTCCACCTTTGGTAGTTCCACTGCCCTTGGAAGTTTGGGTGGTGGTGCCCTTGGGGGGGCATCCTCTGTAGCAGTTGCTAGGTTGTAGAATTCCCTCCCCACAGAGGTGTGTCTGGCACCTTCATTATATAGTTTCCCTCCTATGCTGCAGGCACACCTCTTTACCACGGCCCCTGACACCCAAGACATGCATTTTCAGGACCCACCCTAGTCTTGTGATTCTAATTTGTTTTAAGCTATTTTAGTATTGAATTTTACATTGTTGTAACCCACCCTGGGACCTTATGGAAAAGGGCAGGAAAGAAATCAAATCAAATAAATAACAATAATTGTTTTCAAGCATGACTTTGTAATCTTGAGAGCTAGATACTCTGACAGTACTATGGCTACTAAGAATAACAAAGCTGAGAATCTCACTCTGCACCCAATACGCCTGTTCTGTGCATTCCCCAGGACTTCCGCCAGCCATGTTGACGAAGCTAGAAAAAAGCCAGTTGTCTTTTGCATCAGCCTTTCCTCTTGCAAAGGGCTGGCAAGAGTTCACCACATAACGCATAGGCAAGGCAGATTAATTTCTGACAAAGCAAAGATGGGAATATTTGAACTTCAGCCCTGCTGAGAGGTTAACTGTTCAGCAAAGAAATACCTTTGAAAATAGTACTGTTAAGCAAGTCAATAAAGGGTAATGTCCAAGCTCCATTAATTCAAAGTTCAGTCAGAGAGCACTTATTTACCAAAGGTTTGGTGTGCATGGCTGGTAGGTTTGCAAGCCCATCAAGAGTTCACAAGCTACTCAATTCATGCAGGCAGGTTTCTGATAACAAATGGCAAACTCTTAAGCAAGCTTGTGAAGCTTGGGGTCCACTCCCTAGCTTGGGATTCAGCAGCTAGCTTTCATGTTTGTTTGTGTGTGTGTGTGTGTGTGTGTGTGGTGAAAAGCTTGGAAATAATTACGAAAACTCTAGGAAGCTGCCTTATACTGAGTCAGACCATGGGCCTAGCTAGCTCAGTATTGTCAACTCTGGGCTGGAAGCAGCTCTCCTGGGGGACATTCCTAGTACTACTTGGAGAAGCCAGGGATTGAACCTGAAACCTTCTGCATGTGAAGCAGATGCTCTACTATTGATCTAATGCACCATAGGTGGCTTCGGTGCCCCGGCCTCCACCCAGTGTTTTCCTTCCATTGATCTTTGGCAGTCTTGCACATTGGGCAGGTTTATCAATACCCCAACAGCAAGTCCCCAACAGGTCAGTCTTAGCCGTCTAGGTCAGGGGTCGGCAACCTGTGGTCCATGGGCCACAAGCGGCCCACGGGGTTCGTTTAAACGGCCCACGAGACTCCCCCGAACTGAGCCACCTGCTTGGCGAGTTCCCGCGCGCTGCGCTAAACCGGCACAGCGTGGAGCGGGGACTTGCTTCCGCGGCACTGGAAATCGCATCTGCACATGCACAGATGCGATCCGGCCCACGGAGCAATCTCCGCGGCCCAGGCGAGGTAAACCTTGCCGATCCCTGGTCTAGGTCATTATGCTGAAAGCAAAGTGAGCTGGCACACTGTAGATGAGATGGCTGCTGGCTGGGTTGCGTGGTAGCAGCCCAGAGAATGAGCCCTGTACCTTTTAAATTCAGGTGTGGCTGCTTCTTCCTTTTGTTTTGTGGGTAGTAAGCAGACTTTTTTGGAACTGCAGAGGAGTGGAGGCTATACAGGAGACTTCTCATCTCCTGTGCTTGATAAGTTTAAAAGTAAATTCTCATTCTGTGGGTTAGAACCCTGCTGGCCCTGCTTTGCAGAGGAAGGAGCAAACTCCAAAAAGTCCAAGTGTGACCAAGCCAAAGCCTGCAGGGGAAAGTTTACCACCCATCTTGGGTGGAAACCTATCAAGTGAGCCCAGTCCAAGAGGAATTCTGTTAGCATACAAGGCCATGCTGTCCAAAATAGCACCCTTTGGCCTGATCCAGCAAACTCCTCTTACGTGGTGGTATTAATATTATTAATTGTAGTCACCACTTTTTTCGCAAAAGTGACTTAGAGTGACTTACAGAAGCAAACATTTAGAAACAAGTTTCAAAAATGATTTAAAAAAAATATCTAAAACAGTCATTCCTAAAATGTATAAAGGGGCAGATCCAACTCAACCCCCATCCCACTACAAAAGATGAGCAAAAGATGAGACTGTAAACACACTACACCCTCCAAATTAGTTTACAATTGCCTGCAAAAATAAGAATGGGAATCCAGCTTTTGTATAGCAAACATGTTAACGCCCTACCTGTAATCAGTTGCTGACCACCAGATCTCGCCTGTGCCTGCCAGTCTTCCCCTCCGTACCAGATCTCAACTGTGCTATGGGCAAACAGTGCAACTTTGCATAATTCTGGCTGCCTGATTAAATGTAGAGGAATTTGGGTTGCTTCAGTAGCAGCCCCTGTTCAATGAAATGGAGGCTCAACGTTTTGAGCTTCTGTGAAGATTGTGCACAAGGCAAAGGGGTCTCTCTTAAAATATGCAGGCTTGTCTTCTGTCCTACAGCAATGTCCTCTGTGAATCTTCCTTTTGAAATGAAAATAGACGGCAGTAACCTTCTCTGCTGGATTTTGGTAGCCAGTTAATCTCAGGAGGACATGCAACCTGCCACACACTGGAGGGCTTCGACATTTTATTGCTCTTGCAGTTGGGGTTTGTTTCTTCAAATGGGAACAGACATGGTTGCATCTTCAAGGCTGCTTGAGGGGGTGTGATTATTATTTCCTGCAAAAAAAGAGGTTTGTTTCTCTTTCCAGCCCAGCCCAGAGCCACCTATGGCAAATATTTATATTTTTCCTCCTTTTCTCAAATGATGTCATGTGTGATGGCAGATTTTTTAAAAAAATCTTTAAAAATAATCTTTTTTGCAGCATGTGGTTGAGCAAGTGTGAGGGGCTGTTCGTTCCTTTCTCCCAGCTAGGCTGAGAATTCTCCTTGGAGTTACATGTGAAGTGGTCCATTCCATGCTGATTAGTAGATGGTGATACATGGAAAGAAAAGGGTGATGCAGAGATACTTGCGTTCAAATGACTATGGTCCAGCCCAGCCTGATTTGGTGAAGTCCTCTCTGCTCTAGCAGGGAGGAGGTGATGGAGAGCCAAAATCAGCTTTCTTTTTCTCCCGTGGTGCGGTGTGTGCTGCATCTGATGTGCAGGAATGTGAGTGGCCACACTTATTTGTCCACGCTTGCTGTGGCATGTGGCCTCTGGAGGTTAGCTAGGAGGTAATGGCAAAAAAAGGCTAGCTACCTTGTTGTAAGAACTGTAGCCAGGAAATGTGTATAAAACATTCTGGGTCCTTGGAGGCCCTCCCCAGTGCTTAGGACTGCGTCCGACATGTGGCTGATGAGGCCAGGCTGTGATTGGCTCTAGGCCTGGAGTTGGCATGGTGTTTGACTTGGGGTGCTGGAACTGGGAACCTGTCAGCCAGGCAAGGGCAAAAGGCTTGGCATTGGGTATTGATACCAAGCCTGCCCAATCCAGAGGCTTCATACCGCTTGCCTATTGCAGGGCTAAGTTCTTTCTTGCACATAGCTGTTCCCTTCTGCTCCTGAAGAGGGCAGTCACGTCTTAGTGCACCCACTTCACACACAATAACTAACCAGCCTTGGGCCACTGAGATGCTCTGATGATGGTGACTTGGATGCCCCCTCCCCCCGGTATGCTTAATGCTTGTACCAGGCTGAAATTTCCCTTCTAGGGAAGTGACAGGTGGTTTCTGAAATCAGGGGTGTCAAGTTCCAGCTTTTGCAAAGACCAGTAAAAGGGACCATCCAGTACCCCTGGCGGCGCTATCATTTCCACTCAACAAGGACTATTCAATAAGATCAGATGCTGTCTAAGAGAATCCTCAATTTGCATGCATTGCCTCTTTCAGGTTAGGGGTTTCCAGTGTGGGACACCCCCCCCCCCAAGCAACATAAAACCTGCTTGCTGAACCTCTTTTTTTAAGATTGGCCGTGAAAAGATTCCCTGCCATTCCATTAAGTTGGGAGGATAACTTATTAAGATCCGTCCAGCATCTGTGAAATGAAATATTTCCTCAATCAATATGCATCCCCTCCTCTCCCCCACCCCTGGGGAAAAAAGCATACTTCTTAATAGTAAAATTATTTCTGCAGAAAAGTGCCCGAAAGACTTTGTCATGATAATCACATTAGAGAGAGCCACGTGTGGGCTATATTGCTTCTTACCAAGCTGTGTGCTACTGATAAGCATGTTTGAGGCAGTATCTGACCTTTTTGTGGCAAAGGGTTAAAACAAAACAAAACGCAGCCCTTCTTAACTGTAATCTCTGATCTTTTTGTTGCTTTGAATGTAGTAGCAGGCCTTGTGTTTGAAAAGCAAGCTACCTGATGTGTTGGAGAAGTAGCTGTGAGGGGGTTTTTTTTATCCTGTTTTTTGAATCAGGCAGTTTGCTGCCACACATACATTATAATGAACTGGTGGGGAGGGAGGAGAACAGCCGCCAAAGCTGCTCTCTATATTAATGAGAGAGGCCCTGGCGGATTTCTCCCACTCCACACACCAAGCAGAGTGCTTGAGAAAATTATTTTTAATATTATAATACAAGTAGCTGAAGGGCCTGGTAGTTAGTATAGCAGGTTTGTTGCCTTTCATTTCCCTCACATCATCTTCCTCGTCTTCTGGCTTGCAGTTGCCTCCTTAACACCTCTCTAGTTGCCATTGCCTTAGCTGCTCTGATGTCATGGGCGCTGGGGCAGCCTGTGGGACTAGGTAGCTGAGAGTGGGGAAAATTGGAAATGATCTGAATCCTTGGGCCATTTGGTAAATTTAACCCCTCTTTGTTTATAACAGAATTCGGTGGGCTTTTGAATGGCATCCATTCAGTGCAGATTGGTTGTGATATTTTGGTAAGGTAAAGGTAAAGGTACCCCTGCCCGTATGGGCCAGTCGTGTCCGACTCTGGGGTTGCGCGCCCATCTCGCTTAAGAGGCCGGGGGCCAGCGCTGTCCGAAGACACTTCCGGGTCACGTGGCCAGCGTGACAAGCTGCATCTGGTGAGCCAGCACAGCACACGGAAACGCCGTTTACCTTCCTGCTAGTAAGCGGTCCCTATTTATCTACTTGCACCCGGGGGTGCTTTCGAACTGCTAGGTTGGCAGGCGCTGGGACCGAGCACACCCCGCCGCGGGGATTCGAACCGCCGACCTGACGATCGGCAAGTCCTAGGCGCTGAGGTTTTACCCACAGCGCCACCCGCGTCCCAATATTTTGGTACCTTTTACCAAAGAAAAATGGGTGTTTGCTGCATGTGTGGGTGATTCTGTGTTTGCAGTTGTCTACCACTAAATTATTTTGAAAGAAGAAAATAACCCGGTTCATACATCACTTTAAATCATAGCTGAAATAAACTATGGTTTAAAGGTGAACATCCAGTGTGCTAGTGCATGTTGTGGAAATTGTTTTGCTCCTCCCTTGCTGCTGCTGTGCTTCCAGGAAGCAAGCTAAGGGCCAACTTAACATTTTTTTGGAATTTGGGCTCATGGTTCAGTAGGAAACTGTTCTGGTGTCCTGGTTCAGATTGGGGGTACAGTCAGGATCGGGACTCCACATCCGTTTTTTTCTTTAAAAGTGGTCAATTCTAAGCACTTTCTTAAAAGTATGAACACAACATGCAGTTTGGCCTTAAGTAGACAACCACCTGACTTTCCCAGCAACTCACTTCCTGTGTGTAACACTCTTGAGTATGCAGGTGCCTTCACCTAACTTATATCTCAGTTCTCACTACAACAGCCCTGCAAGGTAGGTTGCGGCTGAGAAAGAGTTGCTTATGGCCATCTGTTGGGTCTGAACTAAGGGATTCTTTCCCTGTAGGCTGTACTACAGTGTACCAACAGCAGCAAACAACTGAGTTCATTAGCAAATACAAACTGCTTTGCTCAACTCATCCTCCTCCCCTCTGCTTTTTTATTTTTTACAGGGTGAAAAGGTAAACTTTGAGAAATTCAAAACCTGGCTGTGGCAAAATAAAGAGGCCTTCACGTTTTCCCGCTGGCTGCTCTCAGGGGGAGTGTATGTCACACTTACGGATGACAGCGACACCCCGACTTTTTATCAGACCCTTGCTGGAGTCACACACTGTAAGTAAC